TAAAGATAACTCACTTTTCTCTCCAGACTATAGGATCAAAAACAAATTAAATCAATGGATTGTCTTCCTTCACTTTCACAGATGAGTCAGAAGTTATTGGTCAAATGTGCACATGACCTTTCTGCCGAAGCTTGAAAACCCAAACAACTTGTTGGGAAGACATTTGGCCAATCTGATTATTTTCTCTATACTAATTGGTTTTACTTCTTCAGTGAATTGAATCAATTGCCTGGTTGTTTTGTCACTGTGAGGACAGAGCTTAATCCACTTAGAGTGAGCAGTTGTGCTTGGTAAACTAGGAAGCTCAAGAAACGTATATCCTTGTTATCGCTTCTGAGTAATTTTTCATGGGTGAGAATGAAAACTTGTCTCGAGGCTTTGCGTTTTCTCCTCTGCACTGGTCAAAGCATCTCAGCGGGCCCCTACACCACCCCAGCATCCTTGAAGTTGGTTTTCTCCCCTCTGCTCCCCTCTTCTTCCAACTTTGTCTCCAGATACTAGTGGCAAAATACATCTTTGAAAACTGTAACCCCCCTGCTGCCGGCATGGGCCACTTCCCAGGGAATGTGGAATCAAGTGTAAACTTCTTACCACCACCGCCTGAGTCCTTGCTGACTTCCCACTTGAGTGATGCCTCCCCGCTTCACTCTCGCCCTCCTGCCTTGGATCCTTCGATCCCCCAAGTTCCTGTCCTCCCCAGCATCTCTGTATTTGTTCCTCCTTTGACTGGAACATCCTTTGTGGACTTGTTCCGTCTCATTCTGAAGGTCTTGTGTGTGATGTCACCTTCTGGAGAGGCCTTTCTCAACAATATAAAGGTTACCCCACTGTTACTCTTTAAAATAAGCCCCTTGAATGTCCTCACTCTTTGCAATGTCCCCGTCCATCATGACTCTCTGTAATATGCCCCTAAGATTACTTTCCTAAGAAGCAATCAGATCTGAAGCCCACCCCACTTCTCCGAGTGTAGTGACTGCCCTCCCTGGCCCCCTGCAGAAGTCCCAGGGCTCAGTCTCTGGGAAGAGCGCACCACAGACAGTGTGCTGGGGGGACACCCAGACCATTTGCTCCATGGGGAGCAAGGGAGGGGACTATATCAAATAAGGTCTAACTAGATGAGATTTGAGCCCCCAAATCTCTTCCCCAAGTTCAGCTCCAGGCTGCTGGCAGCCTGGCTGTACTTTCGAGGGAAGGATCAGAGGACTCTTCCTATAGAAGCTGATCAGTGCAGGTGGGGGAATCTAAAAATCATCGCTCTAGAGTTCCCACTTACACAGGACAGTCAGTCACCCCTGCGGGGAGGCCTGTAGTTGCTGGGTTGTACTTGTCAGGAGCACTAAATCTGTTTTTTAGTGTCCATATCCTACACATGGACAGATATTTTATATTGCTATATATCTTAGGAAAGCCTCTACTGTAAAGAGAGAGATAAAAACAAATAAATGGAAACAAAAGAAGTTGGGAGAGGGACCGTGGAAGGAGAGGCAAACTTCAAAAACAACAGCCAAAGACAATGCCAACCATTAGGGATGTTGCCAGAGATAAAAGGAAACATGGCGGAGCCAGGAAAACAACAGGCTGCTGTCGAAAAGGGTCGCCGGAAACGAATCTCAGAGATAAAAACGGGAGAGCAGGAAGAGGAACTCATGAAGTGCAAAGTCACGGGAATGCCTCAGAAAGTAAAAGAAAAAATAAGATAAAGAAAGAAAAGGAGAAAAGAAGATGAAGGACAAGAAAAAGTGAAGATTATCCCAGAGAGCCGGTCCCCCAGGAAGAGCAGTTCTAGAAAGTCAAAAAAGACAGAACAGGAGGCGAAAAGTTGAAAAAATTGACATAAAAGTTCAAGAGATGTACGACATGACAACTGCATTTAATAACACTGTCTTGTATCTTGAACGTGTCTGAGAGTGGAGGAGGGAAGTGTGTCAGGTAATGCGAATGTTAATCAGCCTAACTTAGCCGTTCCACACTGTATACATATTTCAAAACAATGTGCTGTACATGGCGGTGGGGGGGGGGGAGAAAAAAACAAGAAAGAAAAACAGAACCGTGTTTTTCTAAAACTGAAGGACATGATTCAGAGCTAACAGATCCACTGAATGCCCAGGCGCCAAATGAAAATAGACCCAGGGCTGTGGTAACGCTGAGAATAAAGGAGCGCCTTGGAGCTTCCTGGGGGGAGAAACAAAAAGATTTCATCCCCAGAATGATGAATCATAAATCGCATTGTCTACAGAGTTCTCAACAGCCAGAACACAAAAGAGCAACGTCTTTAATTCTGAAGGGAACCGATTTCCAATTCAGAATGTTATTTTCGAGCTGCCAAATACATTTAAACAATTTTGCTCCCTGCACCTTTCTCAGGAAGCTTCCAGAAGTTTGTGCTGGGAAAGCAGGAGAGTTACGCAAGAGAAAAAGAACTTGTGGGGCCCAGGAATGAAGAAAGAGGTAAAGATAATCAGCACAGTGGGGGACGGGAGACCCCAGGGGCACGGCCTGGGAAGCAGCAGTCAACTCAGAAACTTTCAAGGGAGAGATGGTTAAGGAAGGAAATGAAACCTTAGACAGTTGGGGAGGAGGCTGGGAGATGATTTTATTAATCAGTCCATAGAAAACCAAGCAACTTTGTGGAAAAAAACCAAAATAATTAACTCTGGGGTGAAAACTGTCAAGAAAGGTAACGTGACCATAGCACGCTCCCCGGGGCTTGGTGGTGAGAGGCGTGCTCCTATAATAACGTCAGTGTGTAACAGTCCCCTGAACAATGTGGGACATCACGGTTCTATGGTTGCTGAGAGGACAGAGGCTAAAAAAAACGTGCCTAAGTGCAGGTTTCGAGACAGATGGAGTCCTCCTGTCCTCCCAAGAGAAGGTAAAGGTTATGCTCAAAACTAAAACAAAACAGACCAAAAAAAAAAAAAAATCAAGAATTCATACTATCGGCATGTTAAGAGAAGCAAAGGAGATAAGTCTCAACAGAATCCGAGACGGGAAAATACGGCAGGAGCTGTTGTTTCTTTAATAAGCAGAAAGGTTTGACTTTTTCAAACTCTGCGCAGGTGTAACTTTAAATAAAAGCAAATTTAAAAGTGGGTCTGACGGGTCTTCCCTGTTGACACGGTCTTTCTAGAGTGTGTTTCTGATCTCATATCATGATAGAATCTGCCCTTTCCAAGACTCTGTGGTGCCTTTGACGTGTATGCCAGGTCACAAGAAGAGGGAGGATGGCCTCTCCTTTTCCAGACACAATCCCATCAACAGCCACCACCACGGCACACAGCACCACAAAGCCAGCCCCCTCCCCTGCTGCCTGGCGCTGTCGCAGGACTAGGACACGGGCATCTCTTGGGTTCCCATCTTATGAGGAGAGAAGCTTCTCTCCTGGCCACCTGGTAGCATGGCCAGAGAATTTAAATTGCTGTAAAATTAACTTAATCAAAAAGACCAGGACCATAACCCTGATGGGAAAAAAAAAAAAGCCACATGAAGGAAAAAAAAATCTATCTATCTATCTATCTATCTATCTTTTATGATATATGTAATCTAAGGGGTTTTCCACTTTGGGAGTTGGTTTTGCCATTTATTCCTTTGCAGAAGAGGAGTCGTTTTATTTGACCACATGTGAATTGGTGGGAGATAAGTTGAGTTCTCATGAAGACGGTGTGGGATGAGGGTTAGTGAGCTTGGAGGTGGTCATGGTGTGGGGTGAGGTTAGTGAGCTCAGAGGTGGTTGTGGTGTGGGATGAGGTTAGTGAGCTCGGAGGTGGTCGTGGTGTGGGGTGAGGTTAGTGAGCTC